ATAAAGGATGTCCTCCCTAACTGGAAGGACCAGCGACCGTTGTACAGGGAGTCTTGTCAGTCTTAGAAACCACGGTTGGCAAGGCCAGAAAGGAGTGATGAAGAGGATCTGATATGGCTTCCGTTCTATCTTGGACAGGACCATCATGATATTGGAGGAAAGGCGTATGCCAGAAGGCCCGACCAGTTGATCTATAGGGCGCCTGTCACCCATACCCATGGGTGAGGGAGCCTGGAGCAGAACTTCGGGAATGGGTTTTGTCGGCAGAAGTGAAGAAGTCGAGATGGGGATGCTTGATCTCTGCAAAAATCTAGCTGACCACGTTTGGGTGAAGAATCCACCCTGTTGGTCGAACGGCACCCCGAGAGAGTGTATCTGCTATGCTGTTGCTGGTTCCTGCTATGTGGACGGCTTGGAGGGTGATCCCTTGAGCGTTTGTCCACATGGAGAGCCGCCACGCAAGGGTGCAGAACTAAGGAGAGCGAGTGCCACCCTTGCAGTTGATGTACGCCACTGCTGTGGAGTTGTCGCTCTTGACTCGAATGGACTGACCTACTAGGTGTTGTCAGAAGTGGCAAAGAGCATTGAACACCACTTGGAGCTCTAACCTGCTGATGTGTTTGCCTCAAAAGGCGGTGTCCCAGACCCTGGAGGCATGAAGTGGCAGAAGAGAAGCCCCCCATCCAAATAGTGACACATCCATCGTCAAGATGTGAAGTTCGGTGAATTAGGAGCCTGAGATGTGGATACTGACTTGAATGGCGTGATGACCGGTCAGAAATAGAGGGGAGCTTTTCCAGAGATCAGGGTTGATTTTACACGCCTGAGTGCCTCCAATGACAAAGTTTCAGACATCGGAGGGCTCGATGGGTCTGCAGGTAGGACGATGACATCCACCGCAGGCATTATTGCACAGAAGACCGATGGTTAGAATAGTAGGCTGATCGTTTCAAGTTTTATTCACCGGGACAGCTCCATAGAATGGTGGAGCGACACCTGGAGAGAAGATTTCTGTGTTTCCCACCTAGCTGACCCTTGGCACAGGAATCACGGCTGCTAGCTGACGGTCTGATGCGTAGTGTAGTGGTAGGCCTATGAGCAATTGTTCGAGCTGTGGTTAGGGTTTAGTATGCGTGACCCAGACTCACATTCACCAGGGGACGTACGAGCAAATAACGCAAGGCAGCCCGGTGGAGTATACATGTAGTTCCTGCATGCCTGGATTTCCCCAAATCTGGACAGATCAAGGTAGAGGCATAGGCATGAATGGGAAACGTCACTAGCTCTATTTAATACGGAAAGGAGATGACCCCAGGCATGGCATGTTCACAGGGTGGAGCTAGATGTGAGTCGTAAGTAGAACCCGGATAAGTTGAATTATTATTATCATTATTTAATGAATTTATTAAGTGCAAAATCAATAAAAAAATACATGTGTAAAACGAATGGGTGGTGTTGTTTATTAGACAGACCGACGGAGCTGGATGTGAAGCCAGAGAGAAACATCCGTAGGGGGATCCTACACAGGGCTTCCCGGTGCAGGGCAGTTGCCTGGGGAGTGGAGATTGACTCAAGGCAGCTAGCTGAACCCGGCAGCATCTCCAAAACAGCAGACCACCGTCATCAAACCCGATGAAGAAATATCTTGCCTAGGTGTAGAGCAAGATTTCTTGCATTTGGACCCAGCAGAAGATGATGAGTGTTAACGCTTCTTATGTGCGGTGATCCACCAATAAAACCCAAAGGAAAAACCTGAGGCATTAGCCACATGTCTGGAATGCAGGTCGTGACAGGTTGAAGCAGGCGGAAGCCCTAGCCAGTAGCCCTAAGCCACAACAATGAGTGGCATTCGGGAACCACGGCAATGATACAGTTCTGTAGCCTGAAAAGTGGTCAGTGAAGAGCCCGCATAGTTAGGTGGCACCTCTGAATGGGCTGCCCCCGGGAGCAACGGGGCATCAGCCCGAGGCGCTATAACTTCAAAGTCATGCCTGAGTGAACCGCAGTGAAGTTCGTCTGACAGCTGTAGTTCATGCCATGTGGTGGTCATTGTAGCTGGCCCAGGAGGCGTAGGGCCATCCCGGTGTGTAGACTGGTGAGCCATACCGATGAATACACGTCTTCCACGGTAGGCACTAGTAGTAGGCAGACTGCCAGAGGACTTCAGAGCACGGGAACTGGGAGTGAAGGAGTAAGTTTACTCGTCCCAAGTGCAGCGCCGAACAGAGAGAGTCACCATAATCCGGGACATGATCCGGAGCCAAGTCTTGCTGGGGGAACAGTTCTGGCTGCATAGCAAAGCCACTTTACCCTCCAAGAACGCCTCTTGTGAGGGAGGAGGGATGGCCGGGAGGGGATCTGAGTTGGGTGCCATTATCGCTGGTTGAGGCTTGGAGCCTATCTTGCGGGCTGAAAATCTTGAAAATGGCCCGTATGTGTGCACTTCATTTTTGATAGCACCCGGCAGCAAGTGGTTAACGTTCACCAAGACTCAAATTTGGTTACAATTAGGATAACAGACGTAAATATTAGATTACAGTTGGGTAAAGACATCTCAAAACTGTTAAACCTGCCAAAAGGTAGGCTAGGTCCAAACATTATTTATAAAGGAAAAAATAAACGTAAACCTTTTGATGAGCTTTGGATACACTGCTGAGAGTTAAACACTAGTTAGAACAACTTTAACGGTCAACATTCAGACATGCTGTGCTCTATTACAGACTCAAGCAAACCCCAAAGGGCACATAGCGTTATGGCTAAACTACTTCAATCCCAGAAAAATAACAAGTTTACATTTTTCATTGAAAAATGATGGGGAAAAGTGATTAATAAAATGGGTGCTGGAATTTTGATCGAGTTAAAAATCGGGGAGTAAAGCTGTTTGCGTTTTTCAATCACGCACTTTTTAAAGTGTAAATAATTAAGCCTATAATTAAAAAGAAACATTAACAACCATGAGTAGTAATCCTCCAGAGATTTTAAAGCTTTAACCTGAGCTTCCACAGCCAAACCAAACAAAGCTTTACAGACTCAAAAAGATTGAAGAAATCAAAGCAAAGCTTCTTAGAGAATGCAACAAGAGAGAAACTACGTATAAAAAAATAGAACATGTGCTCACAACACTCAATTACGTGAAATATGGAGTCGAGGTATTGGGTGCAATGTCAGCAGCTAAAGATTTATAGATTTAGGTTCTTGTTTGGCTTGCCGCTTCTTTTTTGACTTACGTTTTGCTTGTTTCTAGTTTGGCATCTGGGTTTTTGGTTTGGTGGTTTTAAAAAAGATTTTAAAATATTCTTCGTTTTTTTTTAAGAGAACTCGGTTGGCGAGAGAGGCCTGTGACTCCCCCATTTCATGTTTTTAAAAATATGTTCAGGATAGGCCCCCTCACTACTCCCTCCAAATAAGTGTTTTATTACGATTCATACAAGTGGGCCCTTAATAAGTATCCAATGTTGAAGGGCTACTTCAGCTACTCCACTTCTCAAAAATTCAGGGAATTCAAACATTCATTGGCAAAAAATGAAGTCTGTGTGTTCAGGCCTCAGTCGGTTGAACTTGGTCGTCTTAACTGAGATATTATGCCTCCCTGCTTCACTATCGCCATAGTGAGCAGAATTTTTATAATACCTTTTACATGTTACAAATAATGGCTGCCCATATTCCAGAATAGGCATCACTAGGAACTTGTTCAATAAAAGCGAGGCATGCATGGACAGTCCTGAGCAACACTAAAAAACAGTAGTTTCATAATTGACATGATATTCCGAAGTAATCTTGTCATTCAAAATTACTCCACGACATTATCACTCATTAACAACTTCAAGTTGTGTTAACCAAGATATTTGCCCCGAGTTAAAGTGCACCCTCACTGGCCAAAGAAAGACAGACTGATTTTACGTGCACATGAAGACCACACACTCCAGAATAAATTTGTTGCATGAATGTACTCAGTGTGCTCTGCGTAAAATGCGCATAAGCTTGTGCGCCTATGCAATGCGTTCATACCAAGAACTGACATTTTCAGTTAAAAACATGCCCTCTTTTGTTCCTGCTCAGAACAGATACTTAGGATCCACTGTTCATGTGATACTCATTATACCTTCGTTTTCTCAGAGTCGAGTTGCATATTAACATCACACCAACTGTGCATGCAATGAATATCTTGTGGAAGTATCACATCATCAGACTGAAATTGTATTGACCTGTGCATAAGAGCATTATCAACAAATAAAATGGTAGACGACACAGCCTTTTGCTACACGTACCTCCCTGAGACAAATGATCTCAGCCACAGCCACACATTACCAGCTATGCTGTACTGTCAGGCTACCTTTGGCGAGATAATATCATGAGGTATATATCATCATCATGTTTGGGTACTCATTCTTTATTTCATAGGTATAGGGCTAAGTGCAATGGAATTTGTCTCCTTCTACATTCAAATCACCACTGCCTTATCAAAGTTGGTGCCGTTGTAAAAAGTGAGATGTCAAAAAAAAATAAATAAATAAAATCTGAATTGATTTTTTCTTTGGAATTCTAAAAATTAAATGCAGGCGTCCACAAAAATGTGGATACAGACTTTTAAGTCTGACAAATTCAACTTAAAGATTTTGCTATTACATCTTGTCAGAGGAACTGGACCTTTTCATTTGGACAAAATAGATACAGTATCATTTGGTGCTGCACTTTCCACTACATCTTGCTCCTGAGATCATATTTGAATGTTGTATTTCTGTTTCTTGTGTTGTGAGTATACTCTTTCATTAAAAAACCACCATTTATTGTACTTAAAAGTAAAGTCGGATCAACCCTGTCCAAGAAGAGTTGATCTCAAGACTGGTTATCGATAGCCTGGTGAGTGAACCATAGGTCCACATATGAGACATATACTGGCTTTATGAAACAGCAGGTACAATTTTGGCTTCAGTGAATCCCAAAAATAAAAGAATGCCGTTGGGATTGATCAAAGTTGAAATGAACATATTTACAAATACCTTTTCTTCCAGCTGCTTTTCCATCTGAGCTTTTTCAAGGCGAAGTTGGTTGTTTTCCATTTTCATCTTTTCCTGTCTCATTTTCTCAAGCTCCAACAAAGCCTGTTGCTCTTGGATTTGATGTTCCTTTTGCATTCTTGTTAACTCTCTTACACCTTCTGCTCCCTTCCCTTCTTTTGCATATGTCTGTGTATCCTCTTTCTTTGCTTTGTTTACCCGTCCAACTCCTTTCATCTGATTTTGGATTTCTTCCTCATCATCATCCTTAAGACTGTCACAAACTGCTGCCTTTGTTTTTCCATTTTCTTTAGCTGTAACTGAGTTACTGTCTTGTACTAATGGCTTCAGTGATCGATTAGGGATCATAGGTTTTGTGATTGTCACCTGAGAAGATTCAGTACTTGGGACTACAGACAGAACATTATTTGAACTGGAGGATTCTTTATTTTTATCTGACACACTAAGTGAACTAGAGGAAACTTGAGCTGTTGCACCCTTGGTGTTACCCCCAGCCAATGAACTTGCCGAAGGACCATGTGTTCTGGCCACCGAACTGGGAGATTTATTTGGAGAAGATAAGTTTTCCTGAAGTTGTTTGGGCTTGACGGATCTGTTGACAGTAGGGATACTTTTGGGAGAATGGACAGTAGTAGGGGTTATTACAGAAATGGTTTCAGAGTTCATAGCATTGCTGGGCAGTGTTGTCTGCTCGTTACTGCCACTAGAAATGGATGGCTTCACTACTGGTCCCTTTGGTTTAACACTGTGATTAGGCTGATCATCTTCCAGTGATGGGTAGTCAAAATCCACTATTTAACAGAAGACAAAGCATCAGAGTAGTCAATACCTTTTACCTGGAAACTGACCAAACTACACATTGTATACAAGTTTCTGTGCTGAACTGGATGGCTCTCTATAAATAACATCTGCACTTTTATATACAGTACATTGCGGTTGAAAGTTAACACTAACATGGGAAAAATTTTTCACATTTTTTCTCTTCCAAGGGAATTCCTTTTCATTTCACAAATTGTGAAAAAGTATGCCAGGGAAAAATTTTTCACATTTTTTCTCTTCCAAGGGAATTCCTTTTCATTTCACAAATTGTGAAAAAGTATGCCAAAAGTAGGAAAACGTTTTCACACATTTTCACACCTTTTCACACAAGTGGGAAAATATTTTCACAGATTTTCCCCTGAGTGGGAAAAGATTTTCATGCTTTTTACTACAAATGGAAAAAAATTTGCACAGATTTTCCCACAAGTGGCAAAAGATTTTCACAGATTTTCTCTGATAGTGGGGAAATAATTTTGCAAGCTTTCTTCATTAAGTAGTATTTGTGCATGTACGTGTAGATATCAGGAAGTTTTTGTTCTCTGTGGTTTCAAACATGCGCATCTCTGAATATGGAAAGTGGAGGAAAATCAGTCAAAAGTTCAAATCAAAAGTTCTTCAATTCTCAGGAATATTCAGATTACAGTAAAATGTCCATAAGTCGAAGCTCAGGGGAATGGATGAAAAGTTCAAGTTATCCAGCGTTCTAGTTATCGAAAGTTACATGCTTCAATGCGCATGCAACCTTACTGGCTTACGGCAGGTTGCCTGCAAGCTGAGTCGAACACGAAGTGGATTTTAGGCTATCCCTACCGTGCAAGTTTTCCTCAAACTTCATCATTAAACATGTTTTTATGTGGTACATTAATGAACAGTAAACCAACGAAGTTATGTACCGGTACCTGTGTCTACGTCTTGAGAATTCATTCTTTTGCTTTGCTTGATCGGGCTGTTACCGCATAACGCGGCGCGCGGGCCGCGTCAGTCGGTCAGGGTTTCTGTACTGGGTCATGTGATACATGTACAAAGCGCTTGAGGGCACATCATTCGTGCCTGATTTAGGCTGCATCCGAATCTCTTGTCTAGAGCTAGGTCTTGGTATTCACTCCATTGGAAATGCATGGAGACGCGCAGACAATAGACCTAGCCATAGGTCTGGAAGCCTGTTTCGAACACGGCCTTTTTTACGGTTGCGGTTGATGCCGACCCAGTGCTTGTCGACGTGACAATGGCAGCCCGTGTGAACATGCTCAGCTCATCAAAGAAAAGCCGTGCGCATGACAGTAATGACTCATAATGAAGGCAAGCGTTCTTTAATCACTTTTTATTCATCATTCTTCAGTGTCTTTTTTTTAATTGGCCTACCAAAACTTCAATATAAGCGGCTTTAGTGGTATTGATGTTTCGAGTTACGGATTGTTTATTGTACATAAAGGCCTATTCTTTTGTCGGGAATACAGAAAGAAGTCGAGGTAAACAGAGTTTTGACTTAACGGGCTTCGACTTATCAAGATTTTACTGTACTTGAGGAAGACAGCATTAAAATTTCAACGCAGTATGTTTCTCGGTTTTGAGCAAAATACAATGCGACGGGCGAAATCAAAGCTGGCTATGGTGGAAGATGGAGACAAGCACTGAACACCTAACAGCTAAATTACAGCAGATTGCCGTTATATATACATGTCTTATAAGCGTTTAAATTAACCCACTTGGATGGATGCTCAACATGTGCACTGCATGTGTGCACATGTATGTACATGTATACGTACATGTATCCACATATTGTCATGTATGTGAATTACGTTTACATGTACTGGCAGATGTATGTACCGTGGTTTTGGAATAAATGCGTTGTATCCGGTTATCTCAACGTTTTCGTGGCGCCGATCAAAAAATATTACCAAATCTCTTCAAAAACCGCCACGGGACCTCGTGCATGATGCCACACCGCATCATGAAGCACAAACTGCATCTACACCTACCCCGACATCCTGACTGCTACTGCATGCCCATTCATGGACAGTCCAATCGATGACTTTTCCCAATAACCATGTGACCACAGAAAGCAACATATCATCAGAAACCCGAGTGAAAACAGACCCGATATGTCATACCGAACACAATCAGCGAAAAGACGAGATTTGCTAAATGAAGATACATGTACAATTTAAGCATGATTTTATTTGTCAATCGAAAGAAACCTTTCAGTAACAAAATACTACATGTAGTATTTCATTGTTGATTTTTTTGTGTGCCAAACTACACCACGAGAATAAATAAAATGTGGGCAAATAACCCATGTCACCACAGCAGAGTATTGACGAGTGTTTGTTTATGGTAATCCAAGAAAACAACTGTGCCACGCGGGCGCGGCTCGCCGTGGTGAGCGCATCCCCGGGATCACGCTGCATGGACCAGACAGTTCGGCCGAGGAAATTGCTACTAGACTACAACAGCACACTCCATGTGGTGAGTTGGCCCTGACCGGCCCAAAGCACAGCGCAGCCTGTGTAATGGACTCTTCACTGCATAATAGTTGTGCGAGTGTGGCAAGTGTTGAGCATTTTCGCTGCACAATGTTTTCGCAAGTTTCCGCATGCTTTTCGGAACCTTTTGCACCGCTTTCACAAAATTTTCACACTGTTTTCGCACACAGTTTTTTTCTCAATGTTTTGCAAATGTTTCACGCCGTGTTCACAAAAGATTCGCATCGTTTTCGCATGTCGTTCATCCCTTTCGCATCCGACTCACTGCAAATTCGCAGGGGGAAAGTTGTGGTCAAAATGTAAAATGCGAACACGAATTCCTTTCGCTTTTTTTCCCATTCATGTCAAATAACTTTCAAATGCAACGTACTGTAGTGTAGGTGCTGCTCATAATACTGCACTGCAGTCAAACAACACAGACTTCAGACAGTTAGAAGTGTATGTCAATGGATACACATGCACCAGTTGACAGTGATCAATGCAAATGATATACTAAAAGCTTTTCATTCTTTGCAATTTTATGGGACCTAATTTAACATGACATAATTTGTATCTTTATTTTAGATCTTCCTGGGACATGAAATAATGTGATATAATTTTGTCCCATTTTAAATGCAAGTGACTACATCTCAAAGAGTTCCTGCTTGACATACAAGACATCATGCGAAATATAATTATGAACATGAGTGTAAGACCTACACAAGCTCAAACTTGCTGATGAAGAACTGTCAACAGGTGGTCTGGTCACATGAGGATTTGTTGTTAACATTGGATATCGTAACAACCAAGCTTCATATCCTCCATCCAACACGAGAGGCTCCAGTTTCAAGGTCACTGTTGAGTCCCACTATCAGAGGAAAATATCACAAAAGAAGGTTACTGTTAAAAGCTGCAATGCATGAAAGCAAGGAGAATACAGTATCTACACGCAGCTACTGTACCTCAAAATTTGATCAATGGGAACACTTTCGTATGGACATGTCTAAAAAGTACATACAGTTTTTAACATCAATGATCAGTGTATATATAGTTAGTTTTGTTTGAGCGGCTGAAATACCGAAAGGTGAATACCACCTTCGGATGGAATGCTGTGGTGTTAGCTCATTCCACTTCCTTGTGCTTGATTCAATGAAACTATTTCCATTGTTGTGATTCCAAGCGTATACTAATTATAAGGGGTGCACATTGCCGGGCTTTTCACTTTCAGGCCTACGCTTCACGTCGAGTATCAACCACACTTTCTAGCTCTCCTGTGTGCATGTTAAGTTCTTGTATTGCTCGTGCTTCATTTTGATTGTTCTTTATATTCCAGGCGTGTCAAATGATGGCTGTTTTAACTGCAAGATGCAAGGACATTGGTTCCATGACTGCCCCTTCGCCTTTAACCCTGCAATGTCGCACTGAGTTAGACCCAAAGCACAGTCGGCACTCCCGCTTGGATACACCAACTACCATACCAGAGGCATCCCATGGCAAGCCCCGAACATTCAGCGACCTGTCTGTACCTTCGGTACTGCAAATGAGGGACCCGTCTCGGGATATACAACCAAGTCAGCAGTCGCTAATAGCAAGCCGTCTTCTACATTATTTCACCTGCCCTAAGGTGTCTAACTTGTATGGCAAGTTCAGCGACGTATTGGAGGTAAATTGTGATTATGAATCATGTTGTGCTACGGATATCCCCTCGGATAATATTAATGTTAAAGGAAGGTTGCATGAGCATTTGAGTTTTTGGCGCAAGATAGGTGCCTCTTCAATGATAATGTCGGCTATTGAACAAGGATATCAAATCCCATTTATCACTCCACCTCATTCTTTATTTTCTAATAATAATAAATTCTCTATTCTTCAAGATGCCTTTGTGGTGGAATCTATTTTGGAATTGTTAAACTCTGGTAGGATCGTTGAGAAAACTGTTCTTTCTTTCGTGGTTAATCCATTGTCCGTTGCATATCAACCTTCCAGCAAACCAGGCTTATTCTAGACCTCAGTAAAATACATGAATTTATACCGAAGATTTCATTTAAACTGGACGACTGGAAAATAAGTCTTCAATTCTTGTCCAAAAATGCTCATGTTTTCTTTTGATTTAAAGTCTGGATACCATCACATTGGTATTTGTGCTGATTACCAGAAATATTTAGGTTTCTCCTGGGTTATCAATGATGTTAGAAGGTATTTTGAATTTAAGTGTTGCCATTTGGTCTTTCATCAGCTCCATTGCTATTTACTTAGATGATGAAACATCCTGTCACTCATTGGCGTGCCGCTGGTATCCTTATCGCAATCTATTTGGATGATGGTTTTTGTGTTATTCCTTCGACTTCAGGTGACAGTGCACTGAATCTAGGTGTAGCTAAAGATATTTCTTGTCATGTAAAAATGATCTATTTAAAGCTGGCTTTGTATATAATATTGGTAAAAACTAATATACCGAGCCACTAATAGAATTGAGTGGCTCGGTATGACTTGGGACACATCCTTGGGAATTTTGCAGTTCCTTCAGAGAAGGATAGATAAAATTCTCAACACAATAGCAGAGATTAAGGGGTCGGACATAATGACAATAAGAAAACTACATTCTTTCGTGGGACAAAGTTTTATCATTGGGTCCAGTGGTAGGTAATCTATCTAGGTTAACCACCCAGAACTGCCAGTTTACAATAGCTGGAGCCTCCCATGAAGACCAATTGATTAGTCTGGATGAAAATTGTGTCACTGAGTTGACATTTTGAGAGAATAATGTCTCCAAAGAAAATGTAAGAAACATATTCACATCTGGCAAAGTAAACAAAATAGTTTGTTGTGATGCTAGTGCTGTTGGTTCGGGGGCAATAATACCCAACGATGTCCACACCGCTCACAAAAACTGGAATGTTAAAGAAGCTAGGATGAGTTCTACATGGCGAGAGTTGAACACTATTGCTTTTCCGATTGCTTCTTTCTTGCCAATAATTTCTAATTCTAAGATTAAAGTGTACACTGACAGCCAATCTGCAGCCCATATTGCAGAGGTTGGAAGTATGAAACCCGATTTACAAAAACTTGCCATTGGTATTTTCAACACTTGAATTATGTCGGATATAACGCTGGAAATGGAATGGATTCCAAGATCTATATACGATCTAGCAGATTATGTTAGTAGATTGGTTGACACCGATGATTGAATGATTTCACCACAGTTATTTGACATTATAAATGATAGATGGGGCCCTTTTACAATTGATTGTTTTGGAACCTTTTATAATGCAAAGTTACCTCGTCATTTTTTCAAGATTTTGGAATCCAAAGACGTCGGGAATAGATGCATTTGCCCAGGATTGGGCTCATAAGAATTGTCTCCTGGTACCACCGATTGTATTGATTCCCAGCGTTTTAAAGCATCTGAAGTAGCAATAAAGGAGTACTTGTATGTCCATGGTAGCCTTCCTCCTCATTTTGGCCATTGCATTGGTCTTGTTATACCCCCTGGGTGAAAGATTTCATTTCCTTGGAAGGTCCAGATCTCTTCCAATTCGGCAGAAACAAGAATTCTCCGCTTGGATCTAGTCAATTCAATAGCCCTATTTGTGCAGTATATATTGATTGTGCATAATTTCAATGAAATCTTTCTTTTGGTTTATAGATCATTCTCAATTAAAGATTTTGGTTGGGATTTCCTGGCAGCTTGGAACATTGCAAGAGTCACATGTTTCAGAGTGTTTTATCCGCAAAGGCAGATGCAACCGCAGTAAGATAGCTTTATAAATGTAGAGAGTTTTTGATTTGGCTAAAGGAACACAGAATCTCAGAAACTCCCAGTTGAAGATAGAGTAATAGCTTCCTTTTTTTGATGAAAAATTGGTAACCACAAAATCTGACAGTACAATAATAATCACATCTTCAGCTATTAAGTGGTTGTATTCATTGATCAATGTCGAACACAATCCTGTATATTCTCCTATAGTGCAGCACATAATATTGACTCATAAACGATCTCTGCACAAACCTCCTGTTCAAAAAGAACCAAATAAGTTAGACCAGGTTAAAGCCACAGTTAGAAAGTTTGCACACCCTGAAGCAAGCCTCACTCATTTACGAACGGCATGTTATGTGGCTTTGCAATATTTTTTATTGTTAAGACACGAAGAGATGGCACAGTTAAAAGCTAGCCTTTAGAAGAATTGCCGAATGTTTCTGGTTTGAGTATTTTTATACCAAGATCCAAAACGGACATTTTTAGAGATGGAAACAAAACACATTTGTCAAAACCCAAGATGCATACTGTCCAGTTACGATTTTAAAGAAATACATGGCAACACGTAACATAAACATAGGAGATAATTCTTATACCCTTCTGTCATATCACCCAAGCTTAGGTACTCATACACCATTAATAACAAAACCAGTAAGCTATTCACGGTGCCGGGAAATGTTTTTAGATGAATTGAGGCAAATAGATGTAGAAGACCCTAAGAAATATGGTTTGTATAATTTAAGATCAGGTGGGGCCAAACATTTGGCTAATAAAGGGGTATCAGACAAAATCATCATGATGCATGGTAGATGGAGAACGAGTCAAGCTAAAAATAGATACGAAAAGCATAGTGTAGAATCTAAGTTAAAGATTTCCAAGTTACTGTCAAGTTAAGTCAAAGTCAAGTTAAGTCAAAGAAACGACAAAGTATATCTGCCTAAAGCTAAAAAAAATGGAAGAAAAATCAAATACATCATTCAAGGTTCATTGCATGTGTAATATTCCAAGACGGATTAACATAAACTTGCTTGCACATAATCAAAATGGATAATCCGCAGATTGTGAGAGCCGTCATCGCGGAATCTCAAGTAATATTGGCTGAGATTGACAATTAGTAGAATTTGTACTGTGTTTAAGTATGTCCGAGCTAATAATGCACGTTTTGTATGGTTGGTCAGAGTCTTGGCTAGGTATTTCTGGAAATTTGTAGTAGTTAAGATCCGTATTGTATTTTGAAATTTTATGGTATTACACTCCCCCCCCAAAAAAATCTCTTTTGATAAACGTTTCGGGGGTCAGTTATGAAGTTTGTATCCCAAGAAAGGGATTTGCTGGGAATTATGCAAATGTATTAATGCTTAACAGAATGTATTTCCCTCTTTGGATGTATTGGGTTAAATGATATCAAATTTTATGCTCTCTTTCCAAGACGGAATTTGTAGATTTTGAAGTGGTTCCCGACAGATGATCCGAAGAGAGTTGGGCTTAAATCCCAAGGTGGGATTATGTTGGCTAAAAAAAAAAAAAAGGTTTTCAGTTTTGAATTTACAAGGGTTCATTTTTGGTCATCCCAAATGAGGTTTGTTAATGTTCTGGTAGTAAAAAAAGCCAGACAGTACTTTTGGCTGAATGATCCGGACAGAGAATCTGAAGAGCCAAAAGGGCTGGAATCCCAAGGTGGACTTTGTGAGATTGTGCATGTGTCGAATGATTTTCTTTTGATATTTTGTATATTTATATATTTTTGTTATGTACATGATTTATCGGGGTTCCATTTCTTTAAAAAAAGGCCTATGTCTTTTACTCGACGCCTGAAACACGACCACACTCCCATGCTTTGATAAATTCTGAGATCAAAATTGATTGTGTTTGTTCTTTGATTTATTGAGGTTGTCTCAATAGAATGAAACTGTTTTTCATGCGGATGAGCGTAGCGAAGGAGCATGAACTTATAAGTATACACGTTTTACATGTGTAGTTGTACTTTACTTTTACGTTTGGTTTTATGTAATTTAATATATTTTTTAGGATTTCAAAAAATCCTTAATCGGCAGGCAACTGCTGTAATGATTTGAATAAATTAATCAATATATGTTTCTTGAGAATAACTCCACCATGTACCAACAACGTTCTTGATGATGACTTAGTTTTGTAAATCCTAGTGACAAGGGTGATAGAAAACATGATTCTAAAGAATCCTTACTAAGGAACTTCTTGTCAATGTCTTGACAAGTCATCTCCTCCAATTATTAGTAACTATTTCTTTCAAAACACTGATGTGACATCCTCGTGACACTCAAATTGCGTTTTTTATGTCCTTATACAGAAAACCCCTGACTCTGGAATAATTCAGCTAACAACAAGTGGTAAATGTGTAACGCCTAATGGGTAACTAAATTCAAGAGTTGCAAGCTGGTAACACAGCATCATTAACATTTAAACTTAGTGTCCAGCGTTATATATCTGGAGTTTAGGGACGGAGACCAAGACCAACACTACAAAACTGTGAGCAAGACTGTGAAAAAGACAGCCTGAGAATGAGACCAAGACCTCAAGTAAAGAATGACATAATGTGTAGCTCTGCCAACCTTACAGTACAAAAAATGATAGACAAATTCTTCAAGAGTGTCTTGTAAGTCAAATAAGCCAAATACTAACCTGTTCCACCCTGGCAACTTTGTGAAAACTATCATTACTATTATAACTTGGCAACTTAGTAAGATGTACAGACCTTGCATTAGTTGTGTGTGAGCCTTCATTTTTACTGAATGTTATTTTCTGGCTCAAAAAAGTTGTGGATAGCATAAGTAACAGATCTGCTGGAGTGTGGCATAACAAGAGGTGTTAAAAACTATTCATAGGGTAGAAAAGGCTGCATTGATTACTTTTGGTGTCACAATGTGCTTGTGGTTATCCGGTGAATGTGAACTCATATTTCAAATTGGGGACACAAATGTGACCCAGTACATTGTAGTCAGTAATACGTGCAAGTCACAAATTGACTTTTTGAGATATGTACATGGTCTGAAAGAGAATTTCATAAGCTTTCAAAAAGGTACACATTACAAGTGTGTTGATGGTAACCTTTTACACACACACTTCCAAAATATACAGAAATGGCCACATCGATTTTTTCAATATCTACCCACATCCCCACTTTACTCAGCCATTACATAAAATGGTCTCAGCAACTAATTCCTGATTATGATGTACTGGGTCACAAATACAGAATACAAGTGGACATCTGTCCCATCCCATTTCCCATTATATTGATGGGATGTACACTCAAGGGAATTTTGGATCAGATGTCTTTCAAACACATCTCTTCTCCTCTCTGAAGAAACAAATCTCTAATTTTGTGATCTCTGCCATGAAATTTAAGTGTGCTTCCTGCAAGCGTGACACATTTTACAAATGTATTTCTGTCCAAACTTCAGATTACGTTGCATGTTCTTACGTTCACAAATAGTGCCCACCTTGGGGGCACTATCCATCCCTCGGGTGTTCACAACATCATATCCCACACCACAGCAGTCAACAATTGTTAAATATCACCCTGTCATGTGATCAGTCTGGGCCAATGAACAGAAGGTATCCAGAAGACAGAAGTATGACAATTGTTATCTTTGTCACTCTCAAACCTACAGTGTAATGAAAGGCTTATGGGGCACTATTTACATTTACCTTGGTAAGAGCGTCTTTTAAGCTTGCCAAAGTTGAACCCTTCGTCAGGTCTCTGGCTGTACTGTTCCAATCAAGAATCACAATACAGTCAACGCTACCTCGCATGTTCCAGGTCTCCTTGACATCAGATGACAGGCCTTTAGCAATCACAGTTACGGTGGTTCTACATATATGTAATGAACAAAACTAAACGTTCAGCTTTAATAGACCCAATAAAAGTAGTTACATGTAACAGTATACATGTAACATAACTCAACACAACCTCAAACTTATTACGACTTCCAAAAATCAGTTACTGGCTTTTCCATAATTTTTTCTAATTTTTGGCTTTTTCCAACTTTGTGAAAAGCATTCTT